TCCACCCATAAACTCAAGTTTAAAGTGAGACTGGTTAGGATGGTTGTTATGCTTTTTGCATCCCCATCCAGCCGTGAGTGACAGCCGAGAGTGGTGAGTTGTATTTAATCAGGACCATGTTTGGCTAAGCAACCTCAAAGAAGCAGTAATGAGCACAAGGGTCGAAGGTGTGTCTAAAGAGTAAACATAATGCTTGAATTTAAGCTGGGGTTCCTGGCAAGAGGGAACATCAAGGGGATGAGGAACTGTAAAGAGAGGGTAGAGGGTCAGTTAATTAAAGATTCTGATGGGTTGAAAGAAATATTAAGGGGACTAGCAGGTGTGAGTTGAAAAGATAAGTGGTAATCAGGATGGGTTGCATGCAGTTGAGATTTAATTGGCAATGATAAGGTTTAAGGTAGGACAAAAAGTAAAGGCATGAGAAAGTAATTAAGTGGTAAGGGGACAAGATAATTGTTGGAACAGAGTTTAACCTGTTAACCGAGCGGGACGTATAAATACGTCAAACGGAAACAATATCGGGTACGGGTAGGACGTATGAATACGTCCTTGAAATATATGTTGCGCCCTGAAACGGGTGGGACGTATATTTCTGAACAACAAAGGTATTAGTCATCCATACATGTCTCGACATGAATTTAAGACACGGAGGGAATCAGTATAATTTCGCTATTGAGAGTGGTGAACGTGTTCTGGGTCAGCAGTGACGGGTACATACTTACACTTACCTACCTATTTTCATATTATATATTATTTACTTATATTTTTTTATATCTCCAATCTTTATATAATAAAAAACATATAAAATTGATCCCATCATCAAATAATTTGTCAGAAAAGTTTAAAAGTTTGTATGTATGTGAATGAGAAATATGCGTAGATGAATCTCTTTTATTATGGAAAGGGAATTTATCCTGGAAACAATATATATCTACAAAAAGAGCTAGATTTGGAATGAAGTTGTTTATTTTGAGTGAAAGCCAATCTGGATACGTACAAAATATAATTTTATACACAGGCAAGGACACAAATGATGGTTCAAACTACCCACAAGAAAAACAATCAAAAAGAATTGTTTTGGAGTTAACACATGACTTACTGAATAAAGGGTATAGGATTTACTTAGATAATTTCTATATGTCAATTCATTTGGCTGAACTCTTGTGTCAAAACAATACAGACATTGTTGGAACAATGAGGATAAACAGAGTAGGAATCCCCAGTGAAATAAAAACAAAAAAATTACAGAAAAATGAACATATGTAAGAATCAAAGACAAACTTATGGTTTTAAAATGGAAGGATAAAAAAGACGTATTGATGCTCAGTTCTATTCATAATGATGAAAAGACAATGATTGAAAAGAGAGGAAGAAGGCAAGAAAAACAGAATGTTGTCCTGGATTATAACAAGAATATGGGCGGCGTAGATTTGGGAGATGGAGTTATGGTGGCCTACACGGCTGCCCGTAATAGGGTAAAAAAATTTTATAAAAAATGTTTTCTACGATTAATTGATATGTGCTGCTTCAATGCATATATTATATACAAAAAAGATAAAGGTCATTTGGATCGATTATACTCTTTGGTAGAGTGTGTAGAGAAATTGGTAGACAGCAACATAGTGAAAACCCACCCAAAGACATCAACAAGCAGTTCTACAACCATCACGCTTAGTTGAAAGGCATTTTCCAGAACAAATGAAAAGCGATATAGGAAAAACTAAATCCAGGAAATGCCGAGTTTGCTACAAAAAAGGTGTTAGGAAAGAATCTACATACTGGTGTCTGGATTGTAAGGTAGCACTATGTATCAATAATTGTTTTAAAATATATCACATGGAAGTTGAGTTTTGAATTTTTACATCTATATTTCAATTTTTTAAACTCAATATTTCTATTTTATTTGTGTGCTTTTGTTTATTGTTCTGTAATTGTTAACTTTTTTATATTTTTTATTGTGTATAGAAATAAAAAAATATATTTTTTGTAATCTTTATAATTGTTTATAAAATTTATCATTTTTTAATTCGATGTTTCCATTTTTTTGTAGGTATTCTTTTCTATTTGTTTGTAATTTTGTATTTTCCTTTGTGCTTTATATATAAATAAACAAAAAATATATATTTCATTTATTTTAATTAAGTATAAATAAAAAAATAATAATATAAAATTATGTGCACTGGGCGTGATGTACTGACACGTCCTAGTGAAAGAGTATGTGCCCATTGTACGATGCGTAATTAAAAAGGGAACTCCCATGTTAACAGGTTAAGAAACGGAGGCCAGATATGGGAAAGATTTTTACACACAGAGAGAAATCAAATCATCAAGAATTAAGACAGGGATGCCCTGGCTGGGTAGCTCAGGTGGTTGGAGCATCTTCCCAATGCACTAGGGTTGTGGGTTTGATCCCCAGTTGGGGTACATACAGGGGTCAGCCAATGACTACATAAATGAGTGAAACATGTTGATATTTCTCTCTTCCTTTCCCTCTCTCTCTAAAATCAATAAATAAAAATTTAAAAAAAATAGACAGGAGTAGTGCTAACAAGAGGGAGTGGCCCAGTGAGTCAATCACTAAATGAGAAATGAGGGATGCGACCTAAAAGTCTATAGATGACAGCAACTAAGAGGAGTGGGTGACATAATCTGCCCCAAATGAAGGAATTCTCAGCATTATATAATTAAAATATAACGTCACAAATTTCACCAGGAATATTTTAATGTGAATTTCCAAAAGAAAGGACAACTATGTTTATTTATATACTCTATCATATTCTCCATTCAATGGTTGAGTGTCTACTACGAACCAGGCAAAAGAAAACAAACCACGTCACTTCCCTGCTGGAGTTTAAATGCCAGGAGAGGAACTTGCCTTGGCAGCATTAGTATTTCAGCAGCTTTTACTATGTGGTTAGGGAAGGAAAAAAATTAGTGGATGATATTCAAATGAACACACATCTGGTATTTAAGGTTTTTTTTTGTGTGTGTGTTTTTTTATGTCAACATGGCAACGTAAAATATCGAGCTGAAGTTTGTAATCACTAGTTATACACATGCTCTGTCTGCCACTGCCCCACTGGAAGTTAGGCAGAAGCATTTCCTGTTTTCTCTCAACATATCTTCAGTCCTTCTCTTTTCTTTATAGACTGGAAAGAAATCCAGTCTAAAGATCCCCACCTTTTAAAGTCCTTTTAAAACACATTAAAAAATACCAGAACAGAAAACTAATTTGAACTAGTGCCAAGGTCTGTTGCATACTTCATCCAGGGAATCATGAAGTTTCAATGTAACTCCAGAACAAGACTGTTTGGGTAAGAAGAAGAGACACTTTGTAGTTTTGAGACAGTAAAATAAGGACAGAAGATTCACTTCAAATGTGTGCTGCCTTGATTTCAATGCCTGTGTAGTGATGTGAGTGATTTGGGACCACAGTGAGGCATAACCTCTGACAGAGTGAGCAGACACATGGACCAGACTGGTCAGACAGGAGGGGAACATATTTTTGACACTGTTTTGCTTAATTCCTTTGAAGATGCTAGTAGACAGCACTTTTGAGAATGCTGGGTTAAAGAAAAATGTGTGTTCTAATTTGGTGAAGGACTGCTATGTGATTTTATTTGATTGTACACATTAAAACTCTTAATTACCGCATAAAGGCAAGGCAGGCTTTTTAGTATTTTGTTGACAAGCTTTTCTGTTTGGAAGAATTTCAAGCATGAGCTAATGTGGTGATAAATTTTTTATGGGAGCTAAGAAAACTGACGTTTCTGAGAATATAAGTGCGCGCGGGGGGGGGGGGGGGGGGCGGACAAACCCATCCTATAATTTTAATGGGCATATCTGTATTTAAATCTCTGAGAAAATATATTTGAGAAGGAATACTTTGCTTTTTCCACTTAAGGTCAGTTTCAAAATTGATAGAGCAATCTCAAAATAATTGGGGAGTTTTTTCAAACTATAAAGTTCTTCTTCCCTTAAATTCTTCTAAGAGGTCTGTGAGAGACATCTGGACACACCTGTTTTTTAAAAGGTTTCCCAGATGATTCCAAAATGTCATTTAGCTGGGAAACACAGGTTCAGTATTTGCTAAGTATTGGCATAGAATGCATGTGGAATTTAGATGTAATTTTAAAACATTGAAAATTAGAATTTTATTCATTAGGTATTATGTAACTACTGTCTAATGCAAATATTAGAGCTTTAGTGCTTTCTAAAATTTTTCTTGTTTCATTCCTGTCCTAATTTAGAACTTTATCATTTTGTGTGTGTGTGTGTGTTTTCTTTATAGGCAAGAAAGGGGGATAATATTTAGAAACCAAAATAAAAAAGAGTTGACAACTGGCCATCTACTACTGATGAATTGAGTTGTGAAATGGGAACAAAGAGAGAGAACATAACAACTCTGTAGGCATATATCCTACTTTAGGAAGGAATTCTGTTCTCAGGTACTAATTAACAAAATCAAGGCCAAAGTGTATAGATGCAAAACTATAAACCAATGGAAAATTCCTCTGGTTCCCCAAAGTAGAGAATCCGCAAAGTGGCATTGTTCCTGGTGTGCTTTGTGTGTTTTCTGAGTTACGATGTAATCTCACTATACCTGTGGAGCTGGCAATTTAAAGTTCTCTTTCTCGCTCTCTCTCTCTCCTCACGCAGAGAAGAGGGGAGTTTAATTGTACAACTTATGTGTCCTTTTCAATAGAATTAAAAAAATTGTTGTTGCTTATTATTATAAAAACAACCTCAACTTTATAATTAGGTGTATTGTTTTCCCCCCTACTTTTGGCCTCACCTCTCAGGAATAATATCTGCAAGTAGAATGAACAAAATGTATATTTTGGCTGCATTCATGCAAGGAGATTTTTCTCTGGATAAGCATTCTCTTTACCAACAAATAGAAGTGTAGTTAACTGCCTAAAACATCTCAGTTTTTGAAAAACAGACAAGTACCCTCCTCCACCTCCCCCCCAAAAGAAGCCAACTGTAAAGTACCATACTTCATAGGCGGAGATGATCAGCTGGAGAATGTTCCCAGAGTCTTTCTGAAGTAGCCCTACAGTAGCTCCTGGAATGAGTTTTGCATAATTCTGTAAACAAAGAGAAGAAGTCAATCCTTGCTCACTTTACCTGAGAAATGTCAAGTGTGGGTTCCGCCTGCTGGCTGGGGCAGCAGGCTCCTGAAAATAAACAGACTCTGCTCCTGAGACTGGAGCCCTGCCTCCTGCTGCAGCCTTCGCTCAAAGGGGAAAAGGACTGGCCGGCGTCACTGCTGGGACATCTAGTGTCAGTGACTGTCTTCTTCTTGGGCTGTGATCTAGATCATGACAGGAGTCAAGTCTTAGGTAACAATAACACTTAGGGAATATCCTCCACTCAGGGTGTGTCTTTGTCCAAAAAACTCTGAATGTACTGTCAGGAACTAGCTTCTCTTCTTGTAATGGTGCAGAAATCAAGAGTTGGTATACACGGGCCCTTGACCGCCATCAGGTCACTTGGTTAGTCATTCAGTCCAGGGGTGTTTGCCAATGGCTTGGTGGAGAAAAGGCATGAATTATTGGCTGCTTGTTGTCACCTTTCTTCCCAGCGGATCCTCCCTCTGCACCACTGCATCCCCACCTACACTGCTTCTCCTGAGAAGTGTTTCCCACTTCAGTAGGACTCGCCCATTTCTTCAACACCTCAGGTATTGAACATGGCCAGGGAATGAGGCATCGCAAAGAAAGGAATTTTCCAGACAGCTGAAAATTACCCCTCTCTTAAATTTATGTTTAAAACTGTTTTCAAACAGAAAGTTGTCTAAAGTGTACTGCACATGCCCCTCTTTTCTTAAATAAAGACTCTAAAGCATACTTTGATGTTTTTTTGTGTGTTTTTTTTTTTTAAGAGAGTCCTGCTTATCAATAATACCTATAGCTCTATAATCATCAAAGGCTTCTAAAGTCCATGATAGATCACACCCATACCAGGTGGGCCCCAACTGCTATGCTTTTGCTTCTTTTATTTGTTTTTAAATAGTTTCCTTCTTCTTGTTAAGCTGTAAGATATCACTTTCCTCCCAGTTTACTCATTTGCTGTGGCACCGACAACATCTATTAGGTCGGCTTAATATGCTGTGAGACATCAAGAAGAGACAATCACTCTTTTTGTCAGCTGCGGTCTTCTAAGTTGCTGTGCGCTGTGAAATCAGATGACTGAACTTATTAAAATGGTACATAGAAAGGAGAAGGAAGCTTTGAGTGAAAGATTTAGGGCATCTCCTGTAGTTCAAACATAATATCCTATTCTTATTCCACAGAAGATTTAAGTAGCTTAGGAAATACACAAAGCAAACTTACAACTAATCGTTATCATTCATCATCATTGTGATGGTAAGTAATTAAATGAGGACAAGGAGGACCAGGAGAAGAACAAATGAAGCCAGGGTGACATGGTCTAGGAGGTCCCACCCACCTGCCAGAGGTGGGCACCTGGGTTAAGTCCAAGCTTTCTACGCCTCTTATATTAAAAGGTGGGGGTGGGGGGGTGACTTTGTTTTTAATTTGTGGGTTTTGTTCCTCTTATTTCAGTGTTCACAGTTGTGTTTCAGTTTGCATTTGATGTATATCTGAACCCTTGAAAGTGTCTGTTGCCCCTCTCTGCCTGGACCCTGTGCTTTATTATTGAAGGGCCGTGGGCAGTAATCCAGGTAACGCTCTTCCCATCTCTCTGTGGCCACATCCCTGACTGGGGAAGGTGGGCCCCACTCTGTTTCCCTGAGTCAGGTAGAACTTGTCAAATGCAGGGAAGGCACCGGTTTATCAACTTGCCTTTTCAAATAAACACGTCAAAAGGGCCGTGAAGCGTGAGGCCTGTGGTTAACAGAGAATACCTAAGTAGGGACTTGAGTTTCACTCAAGTGGAGCTGGAATGTGTGTAAATTTGACTAGTCCCAGAAGAGAAGGCAGAGGGAATCTTTAGAGTTTGACAAGGAAAGGTTTGGATCCTTTTGAAAAGAATTTCAAGGCTCTTAGCGTTGCATAAAATTGCTTCCCTTGAAAAACTGTCCAGCTATCCCCGAGGCTGAGGTCTAGAGGGTATTTTCCATAAGCACTAATTCAAGTGGCCTCCCGTTTTGGGGTTAATTCTTGCTTAACAAAGCCAAATCCATGTACTTCCTAAAGCACAATTATGTTCCTACATGTGGTATGTCATTTGGCATTTGGTTATTAGGACAAGTGGTTGAGCATGAATCGTTTTTGCTGATTGCCACTGGAGTCACGGCAGAAAACAGTTGGCCACCAGCAGCGGTACCCAGTGACTACACTGACAATTGTGTAGAGGAAAACTATTAATTAATTCCTGAATGCTGATTTTCAAAAAAAACAAAAACATTGCAAATAACTAACTGGAAGCATGGACATTTTGGCGTCCTGATCTAACACTGTAAAAAATTATACTTTAAATCATGTAGTGTTATGATTACTGTAAATATCATGTGTCAAATGCCTTTCTTTCATTAAATCCCTAATGTGCTATTATAAATTGTCCTGATTAAACATGTTTAATGTTAGAAAAAGGATGCTTTTGCATGCCTGGATGTGATAAATTACAGCACTGTAACTATAAAAGATGACTGTTGGATATTAAAAATGGTGAGCTCTGAAAGCACGATGTTACATGAACTGATGAGAAATGCAAACTCCTATGCTTGGACTTGAATCCTGTTATCCGTCCATGGATTATCCTAATTATGGACTTTCTCCTCCCCTCCTTCCCACCATGCCACCCAGGAGTTCCTGAGGTTGCTTTTCTCATCCATTTTTGCATGGTTGTCTTCTGCTGATTGCTTTAGTTTTCTTAACTTTTCTCATCAAGCCCTATTTATTTGTTCATTCTGCCCCCATATCAAAACAAAAAAAAAACCAAAACATACACACACACACACACACAAACACAACAAAACAAAAAAAAAACCCACACAAAACAAACAAACAAACAAAAAAAAAGCAAACTTTCTTTTTTCTTGGTCCAAAAGTCTCTTGTCAAGGATAGAGGGTGAGAAATAGACAGGGGGTCATTTAGCGGACAGGCATGAAAGGATACAGAAGAAAGCGACTGAATTCACACCTGCAGACTCTCAGAGGCTGCAAGTTCAGTGCCAGAACCAGCTGTCAGGTGTGTGCGCCTGCTTGGCTGAGGGCAGAGAACCATGCTGACACACCTGCTGCCCCAGCTAGCCGTGGGCAGGCTGTTGCTTGGCTTTCTCTTTAAAAGACTCAGACTGAGGATGTTGGCAAACCCTGGCTACTTTTGGTGCTATTTTGGTCCATAGGAGGCATAGTTCCTGACAGTGATCGTCCTTCCTGCTTCGCTGGCTCTCCCTGGTGGGTTTACTCTGTCTTCTGGTTTCAGAGTCTGACTGTGTTCGGGAACTGGCCCCTCATGAGCTACAGTTAGTAACTTCGAGGGCCTTCCAACAGGATGGAGAGGTCCTCATGAGCCTCCTGGCGTCCCCAAGTGCCTCCTGCCTTTGGACACATCTCCCAAAACCCAAGCTCCTAGAGGGTATGTTGTCACGGGGACTCACGCACGGCTTGGGGAAGCAGTGGGAATGCCAGGGAAAGGACCACATTGCTCTTTATCTCCTTGGTTCTACACAGCTCGCTGTTCCGGTGCAATGAGCCCTCGCTGCAGACAGGGCTACAGGTGCCCATGACGATCCTCTTACCACCATGTGGGAAAGAATCACTGGAGCTAACTCTCGCAATGAGCAGTGTCATCTCTTTCATCCTTCCGAGAAGCTCTACTATTTTAATTTCATTCTTATCTTTTACTGCCAGAATACTGAAGCCCAGGGACTTCAGTGAACTTGCCATGGTCGTCCAGCCAGGAAGTAGCAGAGCCGGACTCACCTGCCCTGCCCTAGAGCCAGGACTCTTAACCAGGATGCTGATGGGACATGCCCAACATGGGCAATGGCTGTGTGGTCTGGAGATGTCCCAGGTGAGCCTGAGACGGGTTCAGGAGGAAGCCCATGATAACTGATGTATTCGTTTGCGAGGGCCGCTGTAACTAAGTACCACAAACTGGTGGCTTAAAACCACAGAAATTACTGTCTCACAGTTCTGTGGCTAGAAGACGGAAAGTAAAGTGTCGGTAGGGCCCTGTTCCCTCTGAAGCCTGAAGGGGAGAGTCTGCCCCTCTTGTCCTCACTTCTGGTGGTCCCCGGCAATCCTTGGCTTGAAGTTCAATATGACCACATCTTAACTAATTACATCCCCAAGGCTCTATTTCCGCATAAGGTCACAGTCTGAGGAACTAGGCACTAGGACTTTCACATAGCTTTAGGGGTTGAACACAATTCACCCCCTGGCATTCTCCTCCAGTTCTTTTTTAACCTTCAAACCCGTAGCTTGAGCTGAGAAGTGAGAACCTTGCCCAGTCACAGAGCTAATAAGTGGTAGGAATGGGTCTCCACTGCAAAGCCAGTGCTCACTCTGCTCCGCCAGGCCCTGCCAGGAACTGGCGTAAATGCCAACAGCCATTGAGGGTGAGTCTCCTTAGAAAGACACAGTAACGCTGCTTTGTATTTACATGCAGGGGGCTAGAGATTATAGAACACTTGTGTACCCAAAGCAAAAGAAAGAAGGACAAAGAGTTGTGGCTGTCATCACTTTCAAACCGAAAGGCTACCTCTTGAAAGAAATGTAGGAAGTAGTGAAACCATAGAGGTCAAAAAAAAATTTTTTTTCCTCGGGGGCTGTATTGTGCTATTTATCGGGTCAAAGGAAAGTAGCTCTTTGCTGGAGACGCCTTGCTTTTGTCAAGCAGTGTGCTTGTTCCAGAGCTAGGGGCGGGCTGCGCGCGCTGGAATAAGGCCTTCTTCGGAAGGCAGCGGGAAGGCGCTCTGCCCGTGAGGTCTTTCATTGCTGTGAGGTTCCATTCCGCCGGTTCTCACGCTCATTACCGGTAAATGCAGGGCTCCCAGGATTATGCAAAAGTTTACCCCCAGGTTGGACTGTGTTACCAGGACACCCAGGATTCCTGAAAGAATGTGTAATTGTTTCTGGCACGAGGGAGCGTGAATGTCTGTCTCTAGGTTGCCTGA